ATAGTTTGAAACTTTTCTACAAATTCTGTCTTCCAGTCCGAGTATGGCGGAGGAGTAAAGTGTCGTCAAGATGTTTAGAGGAAGGGCCTATTCATAGTATTGTGTGGAATATTCCATCATTAGTCCTTAAGTCGCTTTAAGCGGCCTTGTCGGAGCAGGCTCTAGTTAAAGAGTTGAGCTTGTTCATATGAGCAATTCTAAAAAGGTCAAGAAGGCGAAGAAAAATGCAACTTGGCGTTGTTCTTGCAAAGAAATGGCCTGCTCTTGGGTGACATGTTAGATGTGAATTTCAAAGGCGGCCAGGCATTTTCCCAAATTATAAATTACAAATATGTGATTTACTGATTGGCTCGAAGCTCGGCTTGCAAACGAAAAATGAATTCAGATTGTCCGATGACCAGATTTTGCAACTTTTCAAATACTTAACCAAAGTGAAATGCTGCAATGATATGAGCAGGCCTCAGGATGCCAAATATATTCATTTAGCCTTGGCAATTAGTCCCAAATCTATTCTCACCGAGGGTGAAATAAAGTTTAAATCCCTACTTGGTAACGTCAGCACCCCAAACCGGAATCGAACCATCATTTCTTCGTCAGCGTAGGCGACCTAAGATGAATACGGCTATTGTCTTCATAGTTTATCCGGTTGAAGCCTATTTCAATTCGGCTCATATACCGTTTATTGAAATCAGAGCACATTGTTTTCCCTCACTGTAAACATGTTTAACATGTCCAATTCGCAAATTACAATAGATTATTCGAAGGTATGAAGGCCAAGATGTTCTAACCTTTTGTATGTTCGCAGTCTCCTTTAGTAGTAAAGAAGTAGTTTGGCCTTGTTTTCGCGACTTGATCATGTTAGGAGGAAGACCTGGAGGAAAGCACCTTGTCTGGAGTTCATTTTATGAATGATCATTTTCAGAGTAGGACCGTTGACGTGGTACATCCACAGACGGGCTAAGCTTTCTTCCATCAAATGATGGACATCATCATAGCTCAGTCTTCTTCCTATAAAAGTCTCAAGTTAACACACTATGGCAGCAGCCATGCTATCACTCCTCATCCTGTCCTGGTCCTTCTATCCATTTCTAACCCTCTAATCTCGGTCAGAAGTGGCTTGACACGCAAATCAGAAATTGAAGATGGCATAGAATTTTTTCAGAAAGGAGGCGACTCAACTAGTCTTTTCTTGTCTTGGTTCTAATTCCCAGACGTTTCTCTGGTATCGTCACTGAGTCTTGCCATTATTAGCACCATTCTACAACTCGTCAAACTGACAAGTGGAGTCGATCCTTTGACCAATTGTCTGATTAAGAGCCTATGGTTTACCCAAGTTACGCAAAGAATCAGAACCTCTAAGGCTGATAGTTAACAACAAGTCTGGAGCCTAAACACAGGAATAGATTTGTCGGGAAATATATTGGCGAAACAGGAAGGAAAATTAACACACGAATAAAGGAACATCAGAGGCTCTGCAGGAA